ACTAGTAGCTCCTGGCATTACTTCTAGTAACAAGAAACTAGTAGCTCCTGGCATAACTACTAGGAACAAGAAACTACCAGTAACGAGGGCATCGCTACTAGTAGCAAGAAACTTCTACAATTGATTTTTGAAAGGATGTTGCAGCTTACTTGGCATGAACCTTTTGATTCACCAATGCAGAAGGCGCGTGCAACATCCTTCCTCAAGAGCCAAAAGAAACAACATCATGTGTGGTCAATCATCATGAGAAACAAGGATGTTCAAAAACACAGTGACAATAAGCCAAACCAAAGGTCAATGCACTAATTCATGTGACAGCCGTGATCACTGTTTTGCTTAATATATCTTAGAAACACAATTAAATACACATCATATCTAAGCAAAAATACAATCTTAGCACAAGAGCATCAACATCAAAGGCCTTGCCAGATCTTGGAGATGCCTTGCCGCAAAGGAAACCAGATCGTGACCACCGCGACCAGAGTCTCTGGTCGCTTCAAAGCTGCTGGATTGAAGCCTTGAAAGAACCTTTTGACGCCTGACAAATACAATAGGTTAGACATAACTGCTCCAGAGTTTATAAAGGTCAGCCATGATGCCCTAGTATCCCTAGTCATCTTGACAAACGGCAAAGCAAAGCTCTGCCCAACCATTTTGTTCATTGGAGACGTACCTCTCGACTATTGACAACTAGCCAAATTGTCATGACCCTCTCAAGAAGGTTCTAGGCCAAAACGCACGTGAGCATAGGCCTGGCTAACCCTCGATGGCATGGATGTTGGTGACACCTTGCCAAGTAACCAATTCAATATCAATAGACACAAGCACTTGCCAAAATCTATAATATGGATTATAGGAACCTCTTGGGGATGGTCATGGTTGCCTCCCCTTCTCCTTTACGGGACAAAGGAACCTTCTCACATCCAAGTCTTTGTTCCCTGCAGTCGAGAGTGACCACATCTGCCTCACCAGCCCTCCTCAATGGTGAGGTTGTTCGAAGCACCTCAGCCACCCAAAGTCTTCGGCCAAAAACGTCGATCCAATGGTTTCCCATGTTCCGCACTGGCGCAGCCAAGATGAGTCCAGGCCAAACTGGGCCTCCCCCCCGAGTCGTCCAGAAATATGTAAAACTTAGAGCAACAAAGCACGGCATGTTGGCTGTATCTGGACGAACTCTATGGACACAACGTGTTGATCCGGATTACACACGTGGCATCGCGTGGCGCATGACCCTCGCCTCGCCAGGCCTCCTTAAGGGTGATGCTGGTGTCGGCATCACCTGGCCGGTAAACATACCGCAACAAACACGACAAATGGGACCGGAACATTGACATACATTGGGGGTTGGTCTTGTTTTTGTTGGGGTGAATGATGGTGAATGTAGGTACATATGCCAGTCCCATTTGTCGTGGTCGACCGATTCGTCATAAAGCGACTCCAACACCAGCACTACTGTGGATGGATATTGGATGGAATCCACACGAGATCCGGGGGGGGTCTATAATTACCATCAGAGTTGCGTGCTGCTGATGGTCCAAAAAACTTCCAAAACTGATTAATACACTGTAAACTGGCCCCTGAATAAAGATACTGATTGTGTACTGTGCACCAACCAAACAAACGTACTCCCGATTTTGATCTCCTGTTCATTATCTCCATGCCAGCAAAATCCAACCCTCCCTGGATACTCGCTGGATTGCAAACGAATGCTTGACGATGTTTGACGTCTACTTAGGTGCATCTTCCGGGGGGCTCATATGAGAGATGGACCATTCAACGCCCAAAAGGTGTCCATGTGCCCTGCAAGAAGGTAGAGACGTCATTCAACGAGCGGCAAATAAAGGCCACAGGCATGCCACGGACGTTGCCAGGGTCTCACCCAAACGAGTGGGACAATTGGTCCACTGAATAGATCTCTTGGTAGACTGTAGTCCCAAAAAGCCAGTACCGTGGGCGGTGGTCGATTCCTGGCAAACTTCATAATGGTCCAAGTAGACAAGAGATAACACAAAAGACATCCGAGAAGGCTTGGTCTTGGTGGCATCCCCTCAGCAGTGCCTCGCCAGTGCTGAGCGCTGAAACGGGCGAAGCCCCGCGCGGCACACGGCCGCTCGCCTGCGGAGCAGAGCGGCAGATCGACTGACTTAGCAAAATCAGGAAACTCTCCTATAATCTCCTACGTATACATATACGCATGGTAGCGTACACTCTTGATTAATAAGGGCCCGGCCCTGCCATATCAGGAGGTGTTATCAATCAAGAGTTTACATTGGGTTTTCAGGCGTTCTTGGATGGGCCCGTTGGGTAAAGACAACATAAAAGAAGACCACTGATTGGAAAGGAGACTTCCAAAACATGCCTCATTCAAGACATGAGCTTACTCGATAGATGGCTGCCGTGTGGGTGGCAGCTACCTTGACCTTGACAGCCAACATATGCAAAACAACACCATGCGACTTCTTGATCTATTTGCTAGCACCTCTATGCGCCTATATGTTTGTTCTCTTGACACACCCCTTGGTCGTGGAAGAAAAAATAACAGGAAACACCCATTTAATGCTTCAACAAAGGAAGCAACACAAAAAAGGTTCTTGTCGTCCCACGGGAACACCCACGTGGGACATGTGTGTTTCCGAGTCCGGCCAGGCCGAGCGACGGGTATGGACAGGGCGGTAGGCCTCCCGTATGCCTGCAGGGCATGAAAACCTCACGAAAACCTCACCCACTCACGATTGGTAGATGTTCACATGTACCTGGGATTAACAAGCCAATGGCATGAGAAACCGGAGAAACCCATTGGATATGCCATCCTGGTGTGGAATTCCTATACCTTTTTGGGGAGGCGGATCGTTTGGACATACACTACAAATAATGCCCCCTCCAAGGACTGAATCAAGAGCCACAAGTTGTGGCTCAAGTAACCTACCCACGGAGTCCTGCCTGATCCCATCTGAAGGGTTCCTGGCAGAATTCAATGAACATCGCCAAAAGAAAGCCCTTGATTGAAAGAACCAACGAAATGGCTTCCACCAAGCTCCAGCTGAACACGATTGACTGACGAACAATTCGTGTAAAACCTTGATAACACGTTTGACCTACGAAGGAAATCATCAGTTGTCGGTCAAATATGCTGAGATCCCTCGAAGAACCTGGTGTGGCACATCTCGCCGCTCCTGCGGCGCATGAGTTCCTCTTCTGCATCCAACGTGAAACTCTTCTGCTTTCTGCACCATTCACAAAGAAGTCTTCACAGCATTGCCATCAGTTGAAATGCCAGGCTGGAACAAACATAAAAGCTCCTACCTAGTTGTTATACAAACCAAATTCCAAACAGCTCCGTTCAACACAAACATGTTGGTCCGGAACACAAACATGTTGGTCAAAACAAGCAGGGTACCTTGGTTCCTTGGTTGACCAAGCTATATTGTGGTGTCGGGGCTCCGCGTTTTGACCCATCTCCATAATGTAGCACCGATCTTCATACACCTCATTGCATGTGTATGGCTCGAGACGAGGCAATGCGCCAACGCCTTCGGCGCAGTAGCACCAATCACAGCTCGGTCCTTGAGTCCTCTTGTTAATTTCTTGAGTGCCATAGTCCCCAAAATTGAGCCCTCAGCTGATGGTTCTTTTCACACCCAACATGTTCCCTAGTACAGGACCTATACCATACAGATCTGGAGTGAACAGCGGCTTCACCCAGCCCAGCCGCACCAAATCCACGTAGAGGTCCGGGTGCTGCAACACTTCCACTGCTGCCGAGTGAAGCCCTTCTCGAGCCAGCCCAAGCGGAGTTATGCCTGCAGCTGTTGAAAAAACTTAAGCTATATTTGGCGGTGATTGGCACTGTACAAGACGTTGCCATGTTACATTGTTGGCACAAAGAAACAAGACAAAAGGAATGACAAGCTGCACTTCCACAGCTTCAAATCCCCAAATCATCAGTGGGTGAGACATTCAATCATCTCAACGATTCTCAACGATACTACAGCTCCGTCACACACAGAATATTGTGCTTAATAAAGTAGAGCAAGTGTCCGAGTGGCCAAAAACATCTCAACGTCCCAAAGTTTGTGAATCGGTCCTACTCTTTCGTGGTTGGATGTGTTTTTAGGAGTAGCTCTTGGGACCAAATCCATGATATTGCAGGCAGTAGCTTTTCCACCTTGTGAAGAATGGCCTCCCAAATGTTCCACCTCAAACCACCAAGTATATAGCCCGCACGAAACGAGGAACAGCGTCAACTGACTTCATCCAAATTTCACAGATCCCAGTGGCCCTCGGGAGTGGTCGCACACGCGTTTGCTTGGGCTTCCAGGAGGCTTTGGATGAGCGCCACCTGCCCCCGCTCGGCCGCTTTGTGCAATGGGGTGAGGCCTCAGGGACGCGCATGCCTTCTTCGGTGGCCGAAGGCACACAGGAATGTGTTCAAGGTTTATGTTATATTATGGATCTAATCTAGCATATTTAATGCATATATTATATTATATACATATAACTATTTATATAAATATTAAATGTTATAAAAGGACATCAGTGAATATGGTGAGGGTGTTATGATCTGTTAGCTCCTGTATGTTATCCTTGATTGGTGAGTGTATATAAGACCCTTTTTGTGCGGCACTGCGCGGTCAAAACATCCAAGACCTGCGGTTTGAGATCCCATCTCGTCTCTACTATGTAGTCCTCGGAGTCTTTGGTAGTTGACCTATATAGAACAGTGATGGATCTACTCTTGCTGAACCCAGAATCAAAAACAAAATCCGCTGGATCTACTCTTGCCCAAATCAGCTGTCTGCTTCTACAAACAGCTGATTTGCATCGCTTTTCCTTGACTCTCAGGCCTGGCACCGTTTGTCGTGTCACCACATCTTCACCCTGCCGTTTTTCGTGTTCTGCTTAGCCTGCACACTCCCTCACACTCCCTCATATACACCCAAACACTCCAAAAAATACCGTTCTCACACACACACACACCAAAAAAAAAAGAAAACGCCACACCCAACACCATCTGACGTCACCCGAAACCCAAAATCGGCCCCAAAAAGATTCTCTCAGGAGACGTCGTAGAACAGTGCGAGACGTCGAGTACCCCCTCCTCCCCACCCCAAAGATAAACCCACTCGCAAACCCATCCAGTCCGAAGGGATCCAACATGATCCACCTCATCCAGTCCGGCCGAGCTCCTCCGGGTCTCCGGGCCGAACTCATCGATCTCATTCACCTGAGCCCTGGCGTCCAGGAGCCGGAGCACCCCAATGGGTGGGTCCAAAGAGCGGGCACAGGCCAGATGGAGCACGGTCTGGCCTAGGTGGATGTGAACGCGGACGTGGTATATGAAGAGATGGGAGAGGGCTGACGATACATCTAAAAGCATGCTTCTCGTGCTGGCCAGTCAACGCACCACAGCTTCTTACAAGAAACCACCAGTCTTCCAGGTCTGCTATCTGACGTTGGGTCATGTCATCAAAAGCCCCCGTTTTCTCCACCTGCCGCTGTGCGTGAACTTGGGCGCCCGACCGAGCCAGTCCGCAAAGTTGACATCGGCATGACTTCTGAGGAGGAGCTCCATGAGCTCCACTACGTCGGTGTCCATGGCCAAGTGAAGCAGTGATCGACCTGGAGGTACCAAGAGAAGTTAAGTGACTCTGACCTTATTGTAGGACCTGTCACTTGGGGCACCCAACTGGGATAGTCTATGTTCTTCAACCTCTGTTGGTAGATCTGGGAAACGAAAACATCCTCACCCTTCTCGATGAAGCCAGAGAGAGAGAGAGAGAGTAAGGAAAACCACGGACGACGAAACCAAACATAGACCCGACTGCCTTCTTCTAAAGATTCTTAGGTGAGGTCAACAATGGCTTGGAGAGGCTCTCACCACCCACACACTCCCTTTCAAGTATCGATCGTAGAACCTTCTCAAATGGCGGACTGGGTCTGGTATCCTCACGCAGCCCAGGGCTTGTAATCAGAGTGCCGGAGTGTGCTGTCTTTACAGCCAGTGGACCAGACTCAGTCTATGATCCAAACATCACTGGAACCTGTGACATCGGGAAACAACTTTCAGTCGCCCAAACGCGCAGACTCCGTCGGCACACCAACACCAAGGCACCTGTCGTGCTTTCTTCGTTCACCAGTGCAGCGTTCCCACGGAGGAAGTGCCGCACGGCGGCCACACGGCCCTGAGAAGCTGCATCAAAGATGTCTTGACCTCGAGCACGCCATCCAAATTCGATCCAGGCGGCAACTGCTTGAGGATGTTGCAAAGCATTTAGCTTCACAGTTGAAGCGGTTAGGAGTCTCAACCTCTCAACCCCAGGAGTGAAGCGGTTGGGTGAAGCCAATTTTCACAATAGTTTGTTCTTAGACAAGGCATGCAACACGTGCGCGTTTCCTTGTCTCCTTTGAACAACAAAAATAGTAAAAACAATAAATGTGAGTCCCTGTTCAATCCCTCACTCACATATCTTGTCTTTTCTTAGAAGATCGTTGGAGCTTCAGAAATCAATGCCAGTCCCACACAGTTCCAATCTGGCGGACGTGCTGAGAGCTAGACACAGTGCAGCTTCCGCCTCATCCGCCTGGTGGTTGGGGATCGGGGTGGTGGTGGAACCAACAATTGTTAAGACAGTAAACTTGCTTAGCTCTCAAACAAGTGCACTTCGAGATCCAATATGATTTTAGACAAACTGCATATCAACAGTCGGAAAACATGCCAATCCACGTAGGGACGCCAACCGTCTACTCTGTTAAATTTTGGGTGGTCGACATATATCCACAAGAAATAAGTCTAAGAAGCTACTTGGAGCGAAGGGCATCGCTACTAGGAGCAAGGACGCTACTAGGGGCTCCTGGCCTTACTATCAGGAGCAAGAAGCTACTAAAACCGTCTTCCAAAGTCGTCCACTGTGAGAAAACAACACGTCCGCTGCAGCAAGGTCGGTCCCCGTCGAACGACCGAAGGGCACCTGTTCTGCGGACATCTCCTTGGGCAACAAAAACACGGGTGGGTCGCCGACAAGGATAGGCGGAGAGCCCCCGAGAAGGTCCAAATGTTTTCCAGGTGAGATGAGGTGATGTCAGTCTTTATTCAAGTGTTTGTTGATGTCGTTGTCTTTGTCGTTGTCTTTGTCGCTGTCGTTGTTGTTGTTGTCGTCGTTGTTGTTGTTGTTAATGGTGGTGGTGGTGGTGTATGTTCTTGTTGCTCTTGTGGTCTTGTTTCCTGTTTTAATGATGTGTTTTCTTGAGCAGGAGGTTAAGAACTTCCGCAGAAGATATATAGGAGGTGTGCCTTGTTCCATTTCCAACGGGCGGTGGTACAATGACCTTCCATGCTTGTAGGGCATTAACATGCAATCACTGAATCTGAACTTAGAACAAAAAATGTGTTGAACCCATGCTGTGTTGTATTTTGTCCTGCTCTGACCCACAACGGGAACACCAAAAAACAACTTTGAACAATTTAATATATTCCAAGTGCTTTGCCGGTTGCAGGACAATCAAACTCATATTCTCCCTATACGTATGTTCAGCCAGTGGACAAGTTGGATTGGTTTCAGCTGGGTATTCCCTCAAACTCTGTAGCCGCCCTTTGGCGCTGAAAAAAGAAACATACATTCCGTTCTGACAGCGTTGCGGACAGGTCGCAGCTGGATCAAACATGTTGACAGACCTCAAAAGCGCAAAATCTCAAGTTACCTGACGGTGTTGCCTTCCTACCTGGATCATCCAATGGGTGTCCAGTGGAGGTCCATATGTATTGGTGACCCATTGTATGATCAATGGACCTCATCACATCGTATTCGGTCGGAAGTTGAGGTGGACAAGCATCTGTTGACGGTTTTTTGACGGCGTATAGCACACTGATAGACATTGTAGGGAAGACATGGGAAGAAGATGGAAGAAGCAAACGTAGTGGCTGTGTGATTAGCATGAAACATACTGTACTTGCATATCATGTGAGATATGATCAACGCATGTCAAAGGTGTGTACTCCGAAAGCAAGAACATGACAAGTAAGCTTGTCCGGCTTGTCGACACCTGGACACCAATTTGCAGTTCTTAGAGCCACTTTCTGTGCCGCACACTGAGATCTGGACGCTCAAACTATGTGCGGTTCCTGCAACACATCTGAAGAATCCGCTTAAAGTCTTGGACATGCCAAAAGAAACTGACGACTGATCTAGTATCTCAGCTCTGTAGCTGACATCAGTGACATCGAGCAATCGAGCAATCTTCCTGCCTCCGAAGCTTTGGCTGGCGGCTTGGCTTGGACATCGAAGGTGTCGAGAATTCCGGACCTCCACATCACCCCATGATTCTTTTTGCGGGAACGCGGGGTGAATCATCTACAGCCCGAGCACTTTTGAACCTAATTCTTGCTGCATCCATGTTTGGCATAAAAGGATCCCAAAAGTGGGGTTTGACTCCCTATCTCTGGGGTTTGACTCCCTATCTCACACATCTCTCTCCCTACAACGAAATTCTCAGCCTGGAGTTGTCTTTTTGCTCCTTCCATTCTGGGATGGATGTCTAACCCCAAATCACCTTGACCCACCCTGTGCCCCGTGTGCGGGCGCGTAAACGACGCCGGCGCTTACGCGTGCACGCAAGCACACGGGCCTGGGCCAGTGCACCAAACGGGTGCCATCGAACCGCGGAGAACTGAGCCGAAGGAACTCATTCGTATACGGGATGCATCCAGAATCGGTCGCCGTTAGACGTTTAGGATGATGAAAGGAAACAACACCACAGGCTTGACAGTTTGACATCAACTTCCATGGATTGACTTGACAGCTGACCAATGGATGCTTGCGAGACTAAACTCTCTTTCTCTTTACAGCAGTCTCTGAAAATGAGTGGAACTTGTTACTTCTTCATAGAGTCTAACATTCTCTGAAACTCGCCACACTTCTGACCTTCCACCAAACTCGCTCGGCATTTTTGGATCCCATCAGCAGACCAGCTCGGTCTCAACTTCGTGAAACTTGGTTACGTGATGGAGAGGCTCATGTCATTGGAGTGCCTTCATTGGAGTGTCTCCAGAAGCAGTGCCAAAGCTCCATCTTTATTGTGTATAAAGTTCCAGTCGAGGCTTACCTTAGGTCAGAACACCTTAGAAAAAGTAGAAACTGCTCCTGGATGCTGATTGCTGAAATAAAGGCCTGAAACGTGCAACAAACCGCTTTCTCCTCGTCAAGCAGCCCGGTCGTCCGGTGATGCCACAACGCGCAGCTCAGCGATCCATGGCAGGGAAAGTTGAGCCAACAAGCCCATCATGACATGTCGCGAAGGCCACCGAGGTGGGGAAGAAGGATCTAAGTTCTTAAGTGTTGAAGCAATGTTCAAGAAATCCGGATGGACGTGGAACTACAATATGGGTGTCTATTTAAGTATGGGAACTCCAACCAATTTTGTTTTGCATTGTTTATTATTCAAATGTCTTATTGGGGGATCTCCCTGTTTTAATACACGGCCATATGGATTCTGTAGAACCCTCTGTAGCTATCCGCCGTACGTTTCTTGTGAACCCTTGAATTCTCAAATAGGAACGTGCAGCGAAACACTTTTCTTTTGGGAGGGGCTGTACTTTCAGGAAGCACTTCGACCGACACCAAGTCGTGGACACTTCAGCGTCACATTTGACTGATAATTACATACTAAAAAAAAAAACAAACTGATACTAGATCAGCATATAAGAGAAGGCTTGGAACATGATTTCGTGTGGCACACTTGTTTGAGAAGAATTCTGGGGTATCATATCTGCACACATCTGCGAACCATCAAACATTAAAACGATCAAAACCATCAACAGTCTCCAGTACCTGATTAGGTTTTAAGACGGCAACCATCGCTTTCGCCAGCTCAAAACCCATTGCGTCTTCGTCGCTTCGCAAACGCGGGAGGTTCCCCCCAGGTCAGGTGCCTGAAGCTGCCTGGTGCGATCAAACAGTTGTGGTGACTTTTGCGAGGACAAATGTGGTTCGAGACTGTCCCAAAACACAAATACATGGGAATCACGATTCCATGAGCGATTCTATATATATATATACACCTGCAACACTACCTACAACTTCCTGGCTATATTGACCTCTCAAAACACCACAACTGATTGGTATGTATGCCAGTCCCATGGAATGTTTGGGTCCTACATCATTCAGGAGTATCATCCTCAGCATCCAAGGACCTTCCATCTGAGGGTCTATTCACCTTCAAACTCTCTGCAATTCTGCAATTCTACATTCCAAGGGCTCCCTCTCGGGCTTCGTAACAACACACACCCAACAATTGGTGCTCTGGTGCTCAACACAGCAAGCAGCTGTCTAGCAAAATGCTTGCTCCCAGCCCTCCGAACGCCCTTGACTCTCGACTCTGCTGGGCCTGGTGACACCCGCCGTGCGCGGCTCGCAGGGACCTTGGGCTGCAACAAACCATTGGCCACGTGGCTAGGAAAGAGACGTAAACAGGTTGCAGCCAACTTCACACATTGCAACATGGAGCAACATCTGAATTTTTTGTTTGAACACTGGAATCTAAGCTGCCAATGTTCTCTCCACAATCCCTAAAAGCCTCTCTAGCAAAATTCATTTATTTTCCTTATATATTAAAAACCTCACACAGGCCTCAGTGTTCACACAGAATCCTCTCAACCATCATCCATCATCAGGTCATCATCTTTATTAGGCGCATCTGGTCTCCATACCTCCAATCTCAAACCTTGTTGACCTTGTTGACCTAAGTAAGGGGGAGCCTTTGTTTCATCCGAGAAAGTGCCATTAAGTCCGCGCCATCTGAGTGGATCCATCGAGAAAGCGCACCTGCACGCCGGACCGGTCGTCCAAAGACGCCGGACGGGTGGAGATGGCGGCACGGAGACCCGGTGTTGTTCATGGGGGCGATGGTGGGCCCCCTGATGGTGCCCCTTTAGGTCATCAGTCTGAAGATGTCTGAAGTACACTTTTCCATCTGATGTTCTGTTTCTGGGGATACCCTGACAAGTTCAATCATCTGCCGCTTGAGCTTGCAAGAATCGGAGAAGACTCCGTCTCTTCTCAGACTTCTTCCCCGGACTCACTCACACCCGACGTCTTCGGGGTCTCTCTCCCAGATCGTCGGGACGAGTGCCTGGATTGAGTTGGCTTCGGGGTCATAGTGCACCAAACGGCCGGACTGACAGGACCTGGCCGTTTCAGCGGCATGTGAATGCATGCCAGGAAAGAGGAGAAGTCCAGGAGGGGAAGGAAAGAATCTTGTATTAGAAGGGAGAAAGTGAGCAACATACAAGAAGCAAAACAAGCAACATTGTGTACCTTCCTCCAAGAACTGGACAATTGCTATGGAATCAACAATAAGAGACGACCACTGATGATGACCGTAGTCAGCAACATTAGGAATCTCAGGACTCATATTCCCAATGTCTACGCAATGTCCCTTCCATGATTGCGGTAGGTTTGGAGATGTGGATCTCTACTTTGAAAATTATAGGTAGGTAAAGCGGGCAAACAACGTCAACAAACTACTTCTTTCCTCAAAGTAAGAACTATCCTTGGATATAGATAAAGCTGGCAACTAGAAAGAGTTATATGCATATAATATATATATATATATCCTTTCCTTGGACAGGAGGATTCCAACAAATACGTTGTCCAACTCACTCTCACGTCATGCCCGACATGACCGTTTCGTCGTTTTTTTTCTGGTAAAAAAATAAACGTCCGGAGTCGGAGGACGGGCGAAAAAGGACCTCACACCGGTGACCCGACAAAAGCGAGGTTCAATCGTATGAGACATGATTATACCAGGACCCTCAAGGGGTGGTTAATGGACACCCCTTAACAGCTAAGGGGCTATAAATAGACACCCCTTGGAGGATCCTGGTAGTTCTTTGTTTTTTGGCAAAGAATAGAGACGACATAGAGCGACATACTGCAACACTCCGACTTATAATATAGTCCAATAGAATCCAATAGGTCTAATAGGTCTAAAACGATCAGACTCCACACTGAACTCCAACGAACTCCAGCTGCTCTCTAGGCAACCCGGGCCAACGGGAAACTAGCGTGCTGGGTGGAAGAAGCACCTGCCAAGGTCTCAGTCCTTTTACTGCACATACAAGTGCGCAATGAGAGCACAAAACTACACAGAACGTGAACTCTGCGGCATTCATCAACTTTTCCCTGTTTTAAAATAACACATCTATATAAATTCTCAAGCAGAAGCATTCTTGTTTTTTCTCACACGCCAAATCTGGCTGTATCTTTGGGACAACCAACAAATGAAACGAGAAACATCAAACATTCAAACAAATTGATCACTATAGCCTATAGCCAACCAATGAACGGACCCGCCTCCCTTGCTCTCACCCGCCTCGACCGCACATCCCACGGGCCACGCACCCGACTGGGCCAAATTCAGGCGCAAGGCCTGGCTGTGCTCTTCGGTGGATGTTCTTGGCAAAAAATATTGACCGGTGGAACATGGTAGAAACGCGAGTTTGGTTAAACACAAACTATAGTTCAGAGAAGGTTTTGTTGTTGAAGCGCCTCCAGGATGTCCGTGTTTTCTGCCGCAAGGGAACACAGAGTGAAGAGGAATCCAATGGTGCACTGTTTTGCATCTATTTTGCGGTATTCATGTGCTACACGCCGCACACCCGGAACTCAGTATTGGTAGGACAAGGTCACATATTTCTGCACAGGCTAAAGTCAAAAGCGGCAAATCAGGTGCAAGTCGTGGTGAAAGTAAACTATTTATAAAAGAGACATTGCAAGCATCGGCTGATTCCTTGCCATGTCTGGTAGTCGTTACTTGTTCCTATGTCTTATGAGTCCGGCTGAGAGACAGTTCCCCAAACTGGGATGTCCATATATTCCCACATGTTCGCAGTGTAAAGCCAGGGTTGTCCTGAGTTGTCAATGGTGCTCAAAAGTTTCTTTTGAGTGACCCTGAGATCCTCGCCCACTTGATGACCCTGAGATCTGGCTTCCCTTGCTCGCCCAGATCGAACATGACGGGTGACCGGCTCGCCCAAACGCTGTTCCGTGAGCACACGCTAGGGCGACAGCAGAACATGAAGACTACTGTACCACCCAGCAAATCCGTGTAGCACACTCCTTCAACAAAGGGGAACCTTCAAAGCCGCATTACCAATGCACCAAGCAGTCTCTGCCGCGGTTTCCCCCGAAAACATCAGATCGAGAAACCACAGCTTAAAAGTATAGTATGTAAGAGTCAAAGTAGTTCCTTCCCCCTTGCTGTCCCCCATCCATTGACAACAAATCCTTGGAAACAAATCCAGAGGATCCATCCACCATAGTAATAATTTGATAGTAGAAATATATAATGTACTGCAACATATATCTATTGGTCTCACCTTTCTGTTTCCCTTGCTGCCCATGGCTCGGTGCCTCCATCGAATTGTTGCTCTTCTGACGAGCCTCAGGTGGCTGGCTCGGACAACATCCACGTTACCCGCAGCGGGATGGCCCCAAAACACAACCCGCTTTCTTGCGCACCTCTTCAGGTGAAAGCTGAAGATGAAGTCCAGCTTTTAAAAGGCCTATATATGCATGTGTCTCATGTGTTACTAAGCATAATGTCTTTCTCCATCTTTCTCCTACACGTCCATCCAAGCTTCCAGAAAGCTTTTTCGGTCCTGCAGCTGTCTTCACGTGGCCTGCT